GTAAAACTGAACCATGGCTTCTGAGGTGACAGCAATACACCTCAGAATCAATACTGAAATTTGCATTCAATTCAAGCAATACACAAACAATCAATACTGAAATTTGGATATCAGGAAATACTAGCGAACTATCGATAAAAGAAATTTTAAAGTGACATCATAGTTTGTATTATAATGCAAACGAAGTTAAAGTATATTTGTAATATTAGGCATGATACCGCATTTAGAACAGAGAAGTTTGGGTTTCTTTGAGCAAAAATCTTACTATCTTATTATATTGCGGTACTTTTATTTGCAGATTTATTGTCTCCATTGTTTCCTACTATCAAGACCATTCTACGGAGTCGGCCAATTCAAGTCAAGGAAAACGCCAATCTATGATGGATAAAAGAAGCATTCTCCTAGTACTTTCTTAAGTGGCAAAATAACAATTTTTTAGATTTCCGATTTCCGAGAAACAATTATCCTCCCCCCCCCGCCTTTTCTGAGAAGTTAGAAAGCCTTGCGTAATTTCTCAGCATTATTTTAGTTTTCCTCACATACTACTAAAACAATTCAGTATTGTTTCGAATGCGAAGAAATTTCAAGGCATTATTCTCCGTATTACTACAAACTGAAGAACATGAAAATGAAAAATATAAAAAACAAGTTTTTTTTTTTTTTTTTTTTACTAGTCTGTTTAGTTAGATCGTACACTAATCGGGAATACATATATACTCACGTTTGTGAAAATTGCAACACCAAGAAGGAATCGTCATAATTGAATGCAATTTAATACACAGTTGAGTGGTAGTGGTACAAATAAATGATTAAATGTTCAAAGCAAACAAACAAGAACAAGAGATCAGAATCAGTATTTTGTGTGGCCACCACGCGCCGCAATAAGTGCTGCTACACGACGTGGCATGGAGTCAAACAAAGTTTGAATGTCTGACTGAGGAAGAGCATTCCATATCGTTTGTACGCGTACCCAAAGTTCGTCTGCAGACGCAAACAGGACGAGGATCACGAGCAAGACGCCGACCAAGACATCCCACACATGTTCAATTGGCGACATATCCGGGGAACACGCAGGCCAAGGAAGAAGCTGTACCTGCTGCGCTGCAAAGAAGGATTTAACAATCCGAGCAGTATGAGGGCGGGCATTGTCCTGTTGAAATACAGCGCCTGGCAAGCTTTGAAGGAAGGGAACAGCTTCGGGCTGTAGAACTTCACGGATATACCGGTTGCTGTTCAGATTGCCCACAATTCGTAGCAATTGAGATCGTCTATGATATGCTATGGCGCCCCAGACCATAACTCCGGGTGTTCGTCCACTGTGGCGTTCGATAATGCACTCCGGAAGATGGCGTTCACCGGCATAGCGTCTGACACGAATGCGGCCATCATGGTACCACAAATTAAAGCGGGATTCGTCAGAAAAACACGACATGCTGCCAATCAGCACGCCAGTCTCTATGCTGATTGGCCCATTGTAGCCGCAGGCGGCGATGGTCGTGCGTTAGGGGGATCCTGTATAAAGGAGTCCGTGCGCGCAGTCCACACTGCAGCAGACGTCTACGAATTGATGAAGCACACAATGAAACACCTGTAGCTATTGACCACAGTGCCAATTGTCTAGAGGAAGCTGTACGGTCCGTCCGCGCCATGCGGACCAGGTGTCTATCATCGCGAGCTGACGTCACATTTCGGGGTCCACTCCCGGATTTCGAGTTGTCCGACACTCGTCCGTCCACTGCTTCCAAACGCGCATCACTGTGCTGCTGTTACGCTGCACACGAGAGGCTACTGCGCACGATACGACAATCCAGCTTCACGAAGGCCGATGATTCTCCCTCGTTCAAACTCTGTAAGTTGTTCAAATCTCGCTCTCTTTCGTCGACGAGGCATAAGTACAGATTGAGTTAACGTTTACCACTAGCAGATAAACCACCGATAACCATACACGCCTCGCTACAGCCGTCTATTTATTCGTATCCATCAGCCGTTCAGAGGGCGCTGCTCAGCACATACGCATGCGCTACGGATTTGCAATTTAATCATTTGCATATCATGCGCTACTTTGCATTTCCTGAAAATTTCAGCTCACTCGCGTAAGTCCTTCATGGTGTTGCAATTTTCACAAACGTGAGTGTACATTATTATTATTATATTTTAAGCCTAAAGAGGCAATTTTGCCCAGATGGGCTTTTAATTTCGTTTTGGCATTTTGCGTTGAAAAAACCCAGAAGGGGGACATGTGACATATCGACTGGCAAAATGCAACTATTCGGGACAATGGTTATTACGATTTTCAAAATAAAACGTATACTCTAAATTCCTTTTTTTTTTTTTTCCCCTTTAAAATAGACAGCTTGTAGATTATATAAACACATAATGTGTAAATTTAAAGCTTCATGTCTTTAAAAAAACCAATTGTTTACTTTCTCTTACTTTTTGACGAATCTTCTGTGATAGTGTGCTAGTTTGGTACACTTTTCTTAACAAATACTGCATCAAACTCCTTCAAATTTTGCATGATGGTTAAAAACAAATCATTTAAGAATAATAAGCAGTATTTTACATTTTACTTAAAACGAAAAATATTAAAATAAATTAGTAAAATGTTTTGAAAAATCATAGAAAAAAATGGTATTAAACTATTAATAAATCCAAAACTAATGATCATAAATTTTATATCCTGCTTAGTTAGTTTCAAAGAAATAGTTAAGATAAACAACTGTGGAAAATTTAAACCTTCTAGGCTGAATAGTTTTCAAGAAAAGTGCACCGAAAGTTTAAAAAAAAAAAAAAAAAAAAAAAACGTTTTGAGAAAACTGAAAAAAAAACAATTTAAACACTAATAATTTATAAAAAAAAAATCATTTTAACATTTTCTTACACCTTAATCATCTTGAACTAGAATTTCTGCATTTAGTTATTTTTGTTTTATTAACTTATATTTCTTTCTATCCATTTTAGAAAGCTTTTGGTAAGCGAGACGAGCCTCACGAATTCTATCGCAATCTATTTTCGCAGAAAACTTTACCGTATAAAAAACCCTGATTGTATTCCCAATAATTCCATTACTCATTGCGACTTTCTACACTATCATTAAAACATATTACTGCATCTAATAAACCTAATTTTAATGTGATAACACTCACAAAAACAGTTTTGGGTATGCGTTCCAGATGCAATTATTAAAACTTTCATTCGAGTTTTGAGTTGTCGCGTTGAGTAAGGTATTTCTCCCACTTTCCTAGCGTGCCTTCGTGGTGTAGTGGTTCTGCACGCTGGGCCGGTATTCCAGAGGTCCGTGGTTCGATTCCCGGCGAAGGCGATTGCTAATTTTTCATCTCTCCCTCTAACCCCCCTCCCAAAAAAACCTAATGTCTCTACAACTTGTCTGACGTATAACAGCAAACGAAGTACCTGTCGTTGGAACAGCCTTGAGTACCTTACAGGTGACAGTGCGATTTAGCTCAGTTCCGCCCCAATTTTGATGGAGAACACCGCAGGGGCGGACGGGTCCGAAGGTCGTCCATCCTTCTTTCCCTACCACCCACCTCTCGAGAGAACTTTTGGCTCGACGCATATTTCGGGTGCTTCCATGCCGCATGGACACTATACATTTACAAACATCAATGCCTTCTCCGAGATTCGAGCAGGGCTCTGCGGCACGGCAGCGTCATCATACCGGTTGAGCGGTGGGTTTTGACTTCTTCCATGAATGCGATTTGACAGTAGTTTTTTTGTCAAAGAGACTTCAAAGAGTCTCACCTAGTAAAGCAGGTTCTAACAAAGAATGTTTTATGAACATACTTTTTACCAGCTGATATTGCTTTATTGTTGCCACATAAGACATCTGTCCTTTCTCAACTGGTGGGCTTGATAGTGTTTGCTTACATTTTTTAATGAAAGATTTTGGTCTTAAAATTTCCAAACATGGATAAATTACATATTTTTGGAATTGTCTGAGGCTACCTTATTTTTTCTAACCCAAAATTGAAAATTTTTATGTCATATGTCCCCTTAAGTGCGTTGAACCACTTTTCATATTGTTGCCACCAAATATTATCGCCCTATATTATATTTAAAGAAATTAAATAATCTGCATAAATGTATGCATGTTTCTCGCACTGTGATAAAACAACGGTACCTAGAGCTATGAAATTTTGAATAACGTAATCCGCCACCCGGATATGGGCATATGGAAGACCAAATTGGGAATTTGTTTTATTATCTATTTCATATTTTGTAAAACTTTAACGAATTTTTGATTAACAAACTCAACGATTTCAAAGCGAGAAATAGCAACACTGCACAGAGGAGGGGGATTAATCTCCAGGTCGAGAGATTGTGTATCGGTCTAAAGAGATTGTCTAAAGATGCGCTCTTTTTAAATTATTTTGCGATATTGGCTGTTGAATTGAATTTTACGGTTTAAGTGCGAAGAACATGATATTTAATAAATAAAGATAATAAACAAAAACGTTAAAAAAAAACTTTTTCCGTAATATAAAGTCTGTTCAGATATTTTAACCTTCCCCCCCCCTTAAAAAATAGCGTTTAAGTCCTTAGTATTTACCATGCAATACTGGTCAAACTTATTTCAAGTTCAGGAAGGAGGAAGTAAAAGTTTACCCTAAAATTATTAAATCTGTTAGAGCTATTGCATTATATAGAAGTATATCTTCGAAATAAAAAGAATGATTACCGTTTCTTATCATTGTTTAAAATATTTGATACTTTACTTAAAAAAATTTCAGCGCAATTTTGCACTTTAAAATTTACGAAAGCATGAAATCAGATTATAGTTTCAAAATACTCGATTCTTTGGATCGCTAGTGGTACATCAATAAAATGCTAAATAGCCTGCATATATAAAGATCAAAGATATATAAAGATCAAACGCTGACAACAATTTAATGACATTTTAATTTGTTATAAATATGTTCTGAAGGCAACATAAATAAAAATACGAGTAATATACTTAAGAAGAATATTTACAGACTTACCACTATCATTATAAATACACTACATAATGCTCCGTACTTAGACATCTTGAATAGTCTACCTTCACCTTCGGAACCTACCTTGAGTTTAATAAAAAGAAAAAGAAGAGAAAATATAATTAGAAACGCCACCTAGCGACATGCTTGATTCTGCCCTCAGCTGACCTTCAAACTAACGTAAAAGACCGCTGACCCCTGATATTAAAACAGTCTGTTTCAGTTACATTTTTATTTAGACTTCTAAGAACAGGTTTAAATGACATCGTAATCTGACCAGACAACAGACGATCTAGCGTGAGTTGAATGTAAAATCGCACACTTCGAAGTAATCATTTCAAGATGGTTGACCGCTCGAGTTCAAAATGAGTATTTAGAAGGTCACCGTACATTTATTGTTCGATTTATCTTCTCATGTATTAATAATTAAAAAAGAAACAAAAAAATTAGCGCTTTTCTTCTTTAACATTTTGCTTTCCAATTATTCTGAACTCAGAATTATGAATATAACATATATTCTGAAATAGAATATTTATTCTGAAAGTAGAATTTCAGTATTCTGTATTAAACTTCTATCTAATATAAAGTGACCACACGTCCCGCTTTTTGGAGGACTGTCCCACGTCCCAACGATTTTTAAAAATGTCCCGCTTTTTAAATTAACAATTATTAATTAATTATAATGGTGAATATAAAGAAATAAAAAAAAACACATAAAATGCATGCAGAGTGAACTAAATTAGGCGATGTAACGAGTTAGATTTACTCGGTGGTGTTCGATTTATTGTCGTTAAGCCTCGTCAAGGAATATGCATTCTTAACGGAGGAACGGCTAGCATTAGCTGAAGGGCTATTTGCTTTCCACATCATAAACCACAATCAATGTTTCAGATCAATTGAGTGTACTTCGCAAATGATCAAAACGTTGTACAACAAAAAATTTGCATGTGTAAGGACAAAAACCGAAGCAAATAATATTTGTAATGTTTTTTCACAATTGCAGAAAGGATTAGATTTAAATACACATTTATATCCATATATTATGATGCTTCCAACCACAAAGATTTAAAATTATTTCCCACAATTGTTAGACTTTTTGATCCAGAAACAGGAATTAAAATTACAATATTAGATTTTGCTTTATTACCAGGTGAAACTTTTGTTTTTTTCCTATGACAGATTGTTAACAGTTACAGTTTTGTAACAGAGTCCATTAATCTATACTAAGGCCAGATGTGGTGGTCTCTTTATTATAGAGACACCTAATAGGTGGGCCACCATTGTCTCCTATGAATGGACGAACAGTTACAACCATGCCTTCTCCGGGATTCGAACCCACGCTTTTCGGTATCGCAGTCAGGCTCCTCTAACCACTATACCGTCTGGGCGGCTGCCGGGTGAAACTTCACAAATAATTTTTAATTCAATAAGTACTATTATAAAAAAAGAATAATTTGAACAATAAAATTATTGCCTATTCTGTGGATAACACTAATGCAAATTTTGCTCGAAAAGCTAGAAGAGGCATCAATAACGTTTTTACGAAACTTAACGAACATTTGAACCAATAAATTATTGGGGCAGGTTGTGCAGCGCACATTCTACACAGTACTATTCAAAACAGCACTTGACTTACTTCCAGTTGGATGTTGAAAATATTATTGCCAAACAATTTATTCGTATTTATATATACATAGATATATACTGTGCGTGCCGAAAGCTTTGAAGGATTTTTGTGAAAAGCGCAGAAAATCGAATATAAAAGAATTTTTGATAACAGCAAAACACGATGACTAAACTCTTTTACCAGCTGTAGAAAATATTTTAAAAATATACGAACCATTAAAATCACACTTTTTATCACAAGATAAATATCCAAGAATATTGCAGCTGTTTTTTGAAAATGACACATCACAAATTTGTCTTCCGTTCATCCACAAACAAGCTACATTATTTCACAATGCTGTGAAAATTATTGAAGGAGACAAAATTTCAATTACGGAAGTGTCAAATGAAATCAATAATTTAAAAACAAAATTGCGAGAAAGAATTGATAACGATTACGTTCCTTTAGTTATTCGAAAGGACATCACTCGGTTGGAAGAACAAGGTGCCATATCAAACGACCTGATTTTCTGAAAGAAGTCAGAAATTTTTATTATAATAACTGCTTGGAATATCTTGAAGAACGGACAGTTCAATTCGAGGATATAAAAAAACATTCATTGGGTGATATTAAAAAGGAGATTTTATGGGAATATGTGGAAAAATCTTTTTAATATATTAGTAAAACCATTTTCAGAAAAAAAAATATTTGCGAAAATGATCTTTTTGATGAGGTGTCATTGGTCAAAAGATACGTTTCTGATGAAAAAAATTAAATGTTGGTTGTCTGCAAATGTGGAAATAGACAAAAAAAAAAAAAAAAAGGACGGAGTTATTCCTTCATTTTAAACAGAATAATATTCCTTACGAAAATATTTTGAAGAAAATTGTAGAACACGCACTGTCCCTTCCAGGAACAAATGAAGCAACAAAAAAAACGTGTTTTTTCTAGTATCAACAAAATATGGGCAATTGATAAAACGCAGTTGAACATTAAAACTTTGAAATCTGTATTAAGCCTAAAATATAATTTGACCTATCCATGTGAGAAATTTCACGACATTTTAATAAATGATCCGAATCTATTGCAAAGTATTCACTCGGATAAAAAATATAACCGTGAAAGAAAACCATAATTTTTGTTAAATGAAATATTAAATTAATTTAAAAAATAATATTCAAATTATTGTTTTTTACAAATATTTTATAGTTACCAATAGTTAATGATCAATATATTTTTGTATATTTCTAGACAAGTATATGAATCTATACAATAAAAAATATTTTTTTGAATTATTGGTCTGCTTTCATAACTAAATTATAATTCTCATTTCATTATATTTGTTCCGCTTTGTCTCAATGAAAATGTGGTCACTTTAATCTAACAGAGAAAAATAAAAACGAACATGTTTTTCCTACGAAGTTATACATAGAACGTTCCGTTGAAAACCTTCTGATCATGTATGCATATTTCCTGAATATTCTCCACCCCTTCCCAGACTTTTCTTTCAAATGAATGCAACTTTTGCCTAAGGCAAAAGAATTTGACATTCTCTTAATTTTCTTTGGACCTTAGATATTTCAGAATCAAATTCTAAGCCAGATACAAATAATATTCTTACGAACTCTAGTCGTAAGTGTACATTAGTGGAAAGCACTGAGTAGATCAATGAATATGCTATGTATCTATTGGACAAAGAGCATTTCATAGGTTTTTGTCGCTCATGAGTTAGCGGAATTTGATTCCCCACGCTGTGTATTCCAATCTTCCTCCTTCATACCTTATTATTTTAGCCAAAAGGGGCAATATGCCAGTTCACTATAAATGGCATTTCACTTTTCAAATTGTTGCCACTAAATATTAGAGCTCAGCATTATATATAAAGACATTAAACTAATGAAGAATCTGCATGAATGTATGTTTTTCTCGCGCTGTGAAAAAACAATGTTGCCTAGATTGAATAATGTAGTCCTTCACTCGAATATGAGCATCTTGAAGCCCAAATCTGGAATCTGTTTTATTATCTACTTCATAGTTTGAAGGGGGAAAAAAAAAAAATCTCCAGCACGTGAGACTGTTTATTGGAAATTTTAAAGATATGCTCTTTTTAAATTATTTTGTGATATTGTTGTTGAATTGAATTTTATGGTTTAAATGCGAAAAACCTGATATTTAATAAATAAAAGTAACACACATAACGTTAAAAAACGCTCTTTTGGGCGTAATATAAAATCTGATAGCTTTCCAATTTTTTTTTAAATTTGTTTTTATTGTTCATTGGTACGAAAAGCATTATCAGCATTTGACAAGCTATGAAAACAAATATCGGAAGTTAAAAATGATTATGCAGATTTACCTATTACTCTCAGACTTTTCATTTTAAGCATCAGAATTCATCAGGCAGTTTTGTAAGAGATGCTATTTTACTAATTGCAGGAGACGTAAGAAATGTGCAGTGCTCTCGTCGGGATTAGAACAGCAGACCTCCTGATGTACTGTTCAATTACACTGTGAAGTCCAGCAATGAGTAGGAAGAAAATACTTCTTTATGAAAGTACACTGCTGGCTACCGTAAATGAAACACCCTGAAGGAAGCATGCAAATAACATGGAATTTACAACATGCATTAGCAGAGGTGAGATATGCAAATGATTAGAATTTCAACGCTATTTCAAAGCGCTATTTAAGGCTTGGAAATTTCGACGATTTCAAGTTCGGCAATTGTGTTTTTCTTGTGGTTTTTTCAAAAAAATAAATAAATAAATAAAAATAAAAAGATCAATTATGCCTCGTAGTAAACAGCGATCATCGTTTGATCAAGTAACCGAGTTCGACAGAGGAAGGATAGTGGATTATCTTTCGGGGAAATCGGTAGTCGTGTTGGACGAAACCAAACAACTGTAATGCGGATACGTGACCGTTGAATGCAGGAGGGTACGACGGACCGACGTGTTCGATCGCATCCACCTCAGTGCACCACTTCACATGATGACAGGAACATTGTGCGCATGGCAGTGATTGATCGCTCAGTCACATCACAAACCATAGCACAGCACATTCAGCCTGTAACGCATCATCTAGTGTCTGCGCGTACCATTCGACGCCGTTTACAGCAGAGTGGTCTGTACGCAAGACGGCCATTGCTTCGTCTACCCTTGACACAGAACCACAGATGTCTCCCCCGCCAATGGTGCGATGAAAGAAGGATGTGGACGGCAGAATGGAATGAAATTGTCTTTACTGACGAGTCACGCTTCTCTCTGCAACACCACGATGGTCGGATTCTAGTCTGGAGACACCGTGGAGAGAGGATGCTGAACAGCTGCGCTATGCACCGCCACACTGGTCCTGCACCAGGTATTATGATATGGGGCAGTATTGGATATGACTCTCGCACTCCTCTAATACGCATTGCCGGTACTTTAAACAGCCAGCGCTACATCTCCGAGGTGTTTGAGCCAGTTGTCCTTCCTTACCTTCAGGGCTTGCTCAGAGCCATATTTCAACAGGATAATGTGCGAACACACGTGGCACGCATTACCCAAGGATTCTTCG